ATCCATCTCCCTGCCTCCCTCACTGTAGGTCCAGGTGACTAAGTTGTCTCTAGTGCAATGTGAACAATATTCATGCAAGGCCCATAAAAAGTTCTCATTTGCACTCCTTCATCATTCTTTTTGAAGCTTGGATAAAGGTGAGGAGGTTCTAGGAGATGGGGTCAGAAGATCTGAGTATGCACAAAGCCTTGTGGAGAAGAGCTTCCTGCTGACAGGAAATACTTGCCTTGGACTAACACCTAAGTGGGAAATAAGCTTCTTTGGTATCTGCCCAAATAAGACAGGTGATTTGAGTTTCTGGTAGATATGCCATATCAAGTTAGGAAAGTTTCCTTCCATTCTTGGCTTAGTGTTATCGTTTTAATCAGGAGTGGGTATTCAGTTTTATTTGAAAAAATTTGACAACTACTTAATGATAGAGAAGACACTGAGTACCATAGAGACCTGCTGCTTAAATCCCCCAATGTGATAAATCACAATTATATTGAATTTTGATTTAAAAATATTAACATTTTCTAATTTATTTATTTTTGCTTTTATTTTTATAAAGTCTTCCCTTCTACTTTCCTTGGTTTTATTTTATGTTCTTTTTCTAATATCTTGAGTGCTATTAATTTTTTGTTTGTTTCGTTAGAAAGGGACTCAGGGCTATGAAGTTTCCTATATTCCACAAGTACTGATTCATAATATTCTTTTATTATTTGCTAAGTGATCTGTTAATTCATAAACTTATTTCTTAAGTGACTTCTTTTTTTTTAAAGATTTTATTTATTTATTCATGAGAGACAGAGAGAGAGGCAGAGACACAGACAGAGGGAGAAACAGGCTCCATGCAGGGAGCCCGATATGGGACTGGATCCCCGGACTCCAGGATCACGCCCTGGGCCAAAGGCAGGCGCTAAACTGCTGAGCCACCTAGGGATCCCCTGTTAAGTGACTTCTGTAATTAGATCTGACATTGTGTGTTTTATGCCAATCACTGACCAGCAGAATATCTTTCCATTTCTTCATGGATTTTGAAGTGTTCTGGCCCACACTTTTCTTTCTGTAACTCATATTAGGGTAATGAGTAAAGAGCGGGTGCAACCTCACATTCCTCTATAATATGTTTGGTATGTCTGAGGTATGGTTTTACTCATGCAAGTCTCTTTGTAGGCAATCTACTTCTTTTTCAATACTAATTGGGGAAAGTGTACATATTGAATATAGTTATATTAAAACTCTTGAATTCTAAAATTATCAAAAATATGAAAGTCTTGAGCAATGAAAATCATCGTATTTATGTCTTTAAATATTTTAATGGCTATATATAAAAATGAAGTCTCTTATTTATATGACATGGTGATATATGTTTCTTTCTTATCTTTATCTTTAGAATTCCTTGCTGAAAAGAAACTTAGTATGACCATAAAATAACCTTTCTATGATTTGTTATGGAGATTTAAAGGTGCATTTCTTTTGTCTCCTCTGATCATCTTATTATTAAAACCAAAGCTACATATTTTTATGCATAGTGAATTTGTTCTTTAGGAGGCTACCAAATATCATTTTGGTCTATATTATTGCAGTTTAGAATATGGACTCTGGTGCCATCATTTTATTAGCTCTGTGACACTTGACAGGTTTCTTACTCTTTCTCTGCTTCTCTTTCCTCAAATGTAAACTGTGGTCCCTACCTCATAGAAGTTTCCCAAGGATTAAGAGTTCAAAATGTAAGTTCTTAGGACAGTCCTGGGGACAATGTTAATTCTGTGCACTTCAGCTATTTTTATTATAATCTAGAAGCAATCATAGCTACCCTCTCTAAAAACCTTTTTTTTCCCCTTGATTTTCTTCTCATTATTAAAGGGCCCTTTATGTTTAAGGGACATTATATAAACTGTCACCATCTCATTACAAACCCAGTGATATAGTATTATTACGCCATATATATGAGAAGCTAAGTGGGTGAAATAATTTTCAAATTCACAAGGTAGTACGTAACAGAATTGGCATTTGACCTTATGTCTGTCACTAAAGTCCACCCTCCTTCCCATTATATCACTTAGCCTGATGTCACCACTCTCTATACAATCCACAACCATACCCTTTTTCTGCCATTACCAAACAAGCGCTTCATCTTTTTTGGTACACCAAAAAGTTTGTGCTTATAGCACCAAGGTAGTACCTCCACAGCTTGTTTAAAACCATAAATAGCCCAGCCTTGTTGACCTGGAGTAATGATCACACTGTTCTTGCCTGATGCAGGACATTTAGTCTTTAGCACCATAGAGAGGAGAATGCAGACATTAATGGTTTACTGCTGCTTATCTCAGTTGACCCCAGGTAATTTGTCAATCAATACCTAGCCTTTTGATTTTCTCTGTGCCATCCCTCCCATCCCGCAATCCCTGCAATTCAAATGGGTGTTGAAGATCCTAATCTCTAGTTCTCTGGGCATGAAGGCACAACACAATATTGCATGAGATTCCTGGATTTTATGCAGAAACAGGAGGAAAATGGGTGCTTTCCACGGTAGAAAGAGGAGGGGTTGTTGCTCGAAAATACTTCCTAGGCCTGAAAATAATTAAGGTTTTGATTATGTCCATTCAGAGACCTATACCCAGTCTAGGTCTGTGCATCCATGAAGCCGGCATTCTGTGGTCATTCTGATCCTGCACACTCACTACCACCTCCTCCCTTCTCTCAGAGCAGCCTCTGCTCACAGAGTGCTGTCCATTAGGCTGGATTGTTTTATATATTGTCCAGTCAATCCAATCTTTTCTTTTATATTTGTATCCCCCATATCGTCTGCTGAGTGGGAGCCATGTAGCAACTATCATTTTCTTTTTTTTCATTGTGGTAAAATATACATGACATAAAACTTACCATTTTAACCATTTTTCAGCATAGAGTTCACTGACATTAATTTACATTAATTTGCAACTATCCCCACCATCCATCTCAAGAACTTGTTCATGATCCCAGACTGAAAAATCTATTCCCATTAAACAACAACTTCCCATTTTTCCCCTCCCCCAACCCCTGCAATCAGCATTCTACTTTCTGTTTCCATGAGTTTGACTACTCTTACGGAAGTGACACCAGTCATACAATCTTTGTCCTTTTGTGTCTGCCTTATTTCACTTAGCATACTGTTTTTGGGGTTCATTCGTGTTGTAGTATGTGTCAGAACTTCATTCTTTTTTTTTTTAAAGATCTTATTTGAGAGAGAGAGAGAGAGAGAGAGAGAGAGAGAGAAGGAGAACATGAGTGGGGGTACAGACAGAGGGAGAGAGAGAAACAAACTCCCTATTGAGCAAGGATCCTGATGTGGGGCTCCATCCCAGAATCCTAAATTTGTGACCTGAGCTGAAGACAGATACTTAACTGACTGAGCCACCCAGGTGCCCTAGAACTTCATTCCTTTTTAAGTCTGAATATTATTCCATTATATGCATATAGTACATTTTGCTTGTCCATTCATTCATGGTGGACATTTGGGTTGTTTCCACTTTTGACTACTGTGAATAATACTGCTGTAAATCTTTGTGTACAAATGTCTGTTTGAATCCCTGCACCGAGTTCTTTGGGGCATATACTCAGTAGCAGAATTATTGGATCATATGGTAATTCTGTGTTTAATTGTGTTGAGGAGGCACCATAATATTTTCCAGTGTTGCACCATTTTCCATCCTCACCAGCAATACACAAGGCTTCCCTTTTCTCCACATCCTCCGAATATTATTTAACCATTATTCTTCAGACTTAATCCTCATGACATGTGAATAATTATTACTCTATCTAGCATCTTTATTGTACTTCACAGTTGACAGGTTTTTTTGCATATATTAGCCTTTAGAACCTTTATAATGAACTTTGGTTTAGGTATTATATTTATATTACAAAAGCAGAAATTAGAATTCAGAGGTGTTGCAAGATCACCCAGGATCACAAAGCTAATATACAGAAAAATCAAACAACAACTTTATTCCTGATTCTTTTTATTATTTGGAGAATTAATCAGTCTATGTTCTTTGAGATTCTTCCCTGCATGCTCTGTTCACTGGAATCAAGGCAAAAGGAAAGCTCACACGCTGAGAATAGATTCCAAAAAAAGGTTATCTGCTATTCTCCCATATGTCCTAAGGTATTAAAGAAAATAAATGGCTTCAATAAGTGGCAGGAAGGATTTAGGTTAGATATTAACTGGGTAGCTGATGTTGGTGAGACGTTGAAAAAGATTACCAAAGGATACTTTGAGATAATTAAAGTCCTGAAAAATGCTATGGGTTGGATTCCATCCCAGTACATGCTTAAGGGTATAGGAAGTGACTCAGTGAATCCTTGCTAATTATTTGAAAGCAGGGGGATAAACAGAATGTCCTCATGTAGTTTCTATGAGTGAGTTTTCTGATTCTATAGCAAAGATTCTACCAAATGCATCAGTACTACTCAGGAATGGTGTTCTTTGGCGTTTGGGGATAGATCTTTGTTTTCTTGACCCCTTCATTCTGGATTTCTGGAGAATGCAGACTCCCTCACTCAATTCCATTTCAGACCCTGAGCTGGCCAGAGCCTCAGAGGAGTAGCCTGATGTGACCTGACTCACCAGGGGTCTTGAGCTACTACTGGGGCAATTGTCTTTCTACACCACTGTTGATTTGGTTTCACTCTGTTCCTCACTGAGGTTTGAAGGAGATGCAGTTTTGTCCTTAGATTAAAGGGAACAGTCTTAGTGAGCTTATGGGTTGTCAGTGCTGTAACATAAAGAAGGGACAAGGTAGCTGGTTTAAAACAGTAAATAGCACAGCTTTTCCAACAGGCCAGCACTGTTGACATGGAGCAGTAATCACACTGCTCCTGCCTGATGCAGGACACTCAATCTTTAGGACCACTGAGCAGAGGAGAACTAGAATGTAGAGCAGGGGATCTTGGTGGTGACCCCATCCAACCAACTCTGTAACTGTGCAGATGACAAGGCCAGGAGAGGTGTCAATTATTTTTCTTTTACATTTTAGAGTTGGAAATTGAAGAATGCAATGGAAAGCAAGATGAACAAGGCAAGGGTATGTAGCCATCAATTCCAGATCCATGGAGCCATTATTTGTAAGTAGATCTGACTTTACAGGGTCTGCAGTGTTTACAGGACAATTAAAGAATACTCCAGACCAAATATCACCTCAATAAACACATGGAATTAAGGACAACAGAACCTGGTTTAGCACTAGCTCATCTTGCTTGTTGCCAGACCTCCCTTCCTTCTAAGCCTGGATAACTTCACATGATATTAGGAAGTACCCTCCATAGATCTGCCTCTTTACTTCTGCAGGGAAGTTGGCATCTTCTGTAGGAAGCCCTAATCAGTGCAAGATCAACACAAATCCACAAACCTTAATCATTCTGTTTTCACCCACTTTAGATTGCTTTCTCTCTAATTTAATTGCTTGAATTTCAGTGTCTGTGATAAGAACTCAGGGGTAATAGCACACACCTCTGGAATCCCTCTACTGGTTATGGGCTGCACCCTGCAGTATTTGGCCAGTTTTGAGTGCAAGGTTTTCCTGGCACTGCCAGGATCTGTATAGAGAATATCATGCTATGCACACTCCCTTGAAGATGGCTTGATTTCACAATTTTTCACACCTATTGTAATCTCCTCTTGTTTCAAAGAAGATCCCTGTCCAAGTATGCTTTGATGTTTTATGTTGTAAGTTGCAAAATTCAGAATTTAAACATCATAAGTAGAAATCCACAGTTTTCTTTCTTATTCTGTAAGATTTAGCATATTAGTTTTTCTTTAATCACAACAGAGCATGGTGAACAAAATGTATTGTGGTGGATTATGAAAGTATTTTCCTTTTTCACTGTACTGTTTGCCTGAAATTAATATTATACTCTATGTTAACTAACTGGAATTTATATAACTTAAAAAATTCTTATACAGTGAAAATATATTATATTTATGAATCAGATAAATGTTTTAAAGAATCCTTCTAGGTGTAGTAGGCGTCAGGGGGCCTCTGAGGGGTTTTGTGATGTTGGTTCTTAGTTACTCCCTCACTTCTATGATGAAGTGAAACACCATGACTTCCAGGCTATTGGCTACGTTGAGGTTTTATGGCTTTATGAAAGATCTAAATTCATCATCATTAAAAATGTATCTGTAAGAGTCTGGGGAATGTTTCTGATACTAGCTTTATTACTTCAAAACCCTAGATTTGGAGCTGGAATATGCCAAGAGATTTCTACTTGAGTTAAAGGGAAAGCAGGTGGTCTTCCAGGAGGGGAGGAGGCAGGGGGATATTATGAACACTCCTGTGGTTTCTATGTCTTCAGTATTTTCCTCAGTGTGACTAACTAAAATGGTCTTTGTTCTTTGTTCCAGAGTTAGAGACATCCCTGCCACGCGGCACATAGATTTATAACTCTGAGCAAAGGTTTCAACAAATACGATTTCTTCACTCCAAAGTTCATGTATGTGTGCTCCTTGAAATAAAGAACAGAGCATTTCTGTCTTCTGGTCTCTAATCCCAGAAGCCTTGGCAGGAGAGGCAGGTGGAGTTCCAAAAGGTCTTCTTATAGCTCTGGAGATAATGACTGGCTCAAACAAGTTGGCGCCGCATGGGGGGACATCCATGGACCTTATTTATCTCTCCCTCTCTCTCTCTTTTTTTAAGTCTGACACAGAGTCTGCATTGACATAGGCAGTCCAGAAAAAAGAAACTGTGTCTGTTATACCTTTTACTTAAGTGGGATAAATGGAAAGATCATTACTGAAAGATTTGTTGGAATCACACTTCTTATCCAGACAATCCATTGTCATTTTGCAATTCAAAAGTTCTACTCAGAGGGGTTAAAAAAAAAAAAAAGGGACAAAATTTGGGATTAGGTTTAATGACTTGGAACATGCAAGGACCATAATTAAATTTCTGAGTCCATATCTTGGATGTGGATACGTGGTTGGAGATACACATCAGACTCTTCAATGGCTATATTACCCTGCCCCCACCACGCCCCCTTCCATGAAGATGGGCAACAGGGATGGTGCTTGAATTCTTTCATAACTGTCACTAAACAATTTGTTTCTTTAACATCTCACATAGATGGCTGAAATAACACGGAAAGCTCCCAGGGTTCCAGACTGGGTAAGTGCAGTTCAAATGTCCCAAGTCCATGTGACAATGTTTTTTGAAAAAATATTTGACTTGAAGCCAAAGCAATGACACTAAATCCACTCCAGGGCACAATTTTGAATAAGGCATCAATTTTGGAGCCGAGCCCAAATACTAATGGAATTTAGCATTACATTACAATCTGACTTACCACAGGTCTTACAGCAGAGTCCAGGTATGGTAATCTTTGAATTACCTAACCTGGGAAGGAGCCAAGTGGCCTATGGAATACCTGAAAATGAAACACTACCAGTGGTGGGAAAGTATGCCAACCTTAGAAACTGTGAAGACACCCATGAAAACTGAGAACCACACTGATGCCAATGTCTTGGCTCTTTTTTTTATTTTTTTAAGATTTTATTTATTTATTTATGAGAGACAGAGAGAGAGAGAGAGAGAGAGAGAGAGAGAGAGAGAGAGAGAGAGACAGGTAGAGGGAGAAGCAGGCTCCATGCAGGGAGCCTGACGTGGGACTGGATCCCTGTCTCCAGGATCAGGCCCTGGACTGAAGGCAGTGCTAAACTGCTGAGCCACCCAGGCTGCCCCAATGTCCTGGTTCTTATGAAATTTACTGTGTTGTGATGAAAGAAGATAAAAAGTAACAATCATATATATATATGTGTATATATATATATATATATTTTAATTGAAGCTCGATTTGCCAACATATAACACCCAGTGCTCATCCCATCAAGTGCCCTCCTCAGTGCCTGTCACCCAGTCACCCCATCCCCCTGCCCGCCTCCCCTTCCACTACCCCTTGTTCACTTCCCAGAGTTAGGAGTCTCCCATGGTTTGTCACCCTCTAATTTTTCCCACTCATTTTCTCTCCTTTCCCCTATGATCTTTTTCACTATTTCTTATATTCCCTGTATGAGTGAAACCATATAATGATTGTCCTTCTCTGGTTGACTTACTTCACATAGCATAATACCCTCCAGTTCCATCCACGTCGAAGCAAAAGGTGGGTATTTGTCCTTTCTAACGGCTGAAAAAAATAACAATCTTACATAATTTGAAGCGGTATATTAAGGGTATATCCAGCAACACAGAAGAGGGATGTAATTACCAAGCCAGATGATGAGGGCCAGGGAAGGCTGGCACTCTATCTAGTTATAAGAAATTCAGAGTACAGTTAATGCATTTTGTCTTGAATGACACTTGTCCTCCCAATAATTCAGACTCTTCCCAGAACCATTCCTAAAGACTTAGCTTTTCTCATAAATGCTCTAAGTATTTGTTCATCTGTATCCTCAGTGAATGGAAGAGAGGTCAGAAACATGTCACTGCTTTGTAACCTAAGATCTTCAGCCTTGTCTACTGAATGAGTCACTGAATTAATATTCCTCCCTACATAATTTTCCTTTAAGAAGCCTCTTCTTAAAAAAAAAAAAAGAAGAAGAAGAAGAAGAAGAAGCCTATTCTTTCCTGCCTTATCTGAGCCCCTACTTCTCTGGACATCATTCTCTACCTAACTACTTAGACAAACTATTTAATTTCCCTTGACATTCTTTCTTCTGGACAATAAAAGCAAAATTGCCTTAGTTAGGCATTTTTCTTCTTTTGGTTTATATGATGAAAAATTTTACCTCATTTGATATTTTCTGTTTTCCCTTCCTCTTCTGCACACTTCCAGGAGGCCTCCTGAGTGGTCCATGCTCAAGCTGCATAAGTCTGGCAGTCATTTTTAGTACCAGCTCTTGCTTTATAATGGAAAATCTAGAAATGTTTCATTTCTTTTCTTTTTTTTTGAAATGTTTCATTTCTTGTAAAGTGTTCTGAATCAGATGAGCTGAGAGTCAAAGAACAGGCTTTATCTGGGGTTACTTAGAGAACTCAAAGCCCTAAAAGTAAATGTCCTCTTAGAATTACCTGACAGAGCTGTTTATCTTCCATGACTTAGTACTTTAATCCAGTACAGGGTCTGACTGAACTGACTTGTGACAAAAGGATAGACTAGGATATCTCTTATCCCTTTATCTTTTCTCATTGGTAATGTTCATGAATCCATTATTCCTATGGACTAGAGAGGACCTCAGAAATTACAAGATTGGGCCATTTTAGTTGCAGGCTGGGGTTATGCAGAATATCCTCTGAATGAATTCACTGTCCTGCAGTGGGGCTCATAGAGTGGAAGAATTTGTTGTTGAGTAAGGGCCAGGCTTAACATTTTTCAGCCTGAGTTTGGAGGTAATGCAGGGTCACTTCAATTATCTTGGAAATGAGAGTGCTAGTAACCAGTGGAGAGACTATTTTGGAATAAGATAATAACATTATCAAAAACTACTTCCAGTTTGTAATAAGTATTATGCACCAGTTGATGTTATCATGCAGATTTTCTTGTTAGATCTGCTTATAGAGTGAATTACACCAATAGAGTGAATTACACCAACAGAGGTTTTAACAACTCTGTTGACATACAATTCCCAAACCATACAATTCACCCTATTAAAGTGTATAATTCAATAGATTTAGTATAATCACAGAGTTGTACAGCCAGCATCACATCTAATTTTAGAACATCTTCATCCCACCAAAAAGAAACCCCATAACCATTAGCTATCATACATCCTCATTTCACCCCAGCCCTAGACAACTGCTAAACTACTGTCTGCCTCTATTGATTTGCTTGTTATAAACCTTTCATATGAATGGACTCATATAGTATGTGGTCTTCTGTGACTGGCTTATTTAATTTAGCATAGTTTTAAGGTTCATCCTGTTGTAGAATATATCAAGGCCACATTCCTTATTATTGCCAAGTAATATTCCATTGATAGATATACATTTATTTATTCATTTGTCAGTTGTTAGACTGATTATTTCCACTTTTTGGCTATTATGAATAATGCAGCTATGCGGTGTTATTTACAAAAGGCAATACATGGAAGCAATCTGACTGTCCGTGGACAGATGAATGGGTAATGAAGATGTGGTGTACATATGGCAGCTATAACAAAGGAAATCCAGCCATTTGCAATAATATGAGTGAACTTCAAGGTATTATGCTAAGAAAAATAAGTCAGACAGAGAAAAATAAATTCTATATGATCTCATATATATGTGGCATCTGAAAAACAAAGGAAAAGAAAATAAATGTGTTGCTTACCAGAGGTGGAGAAGGGATTGGATAAAAATGGTCAAAAGGTATAAATTTTAGTTATAGGATAAATAAGTACTATGAATGTAATGAACAACTTAATGACTATGATTAATACCGATATATGGTATATATGGAAATTGTTAGAGTAAATGCTGAGTTCCCATTATAAGGAAAATAAATAAATTTCTTTTTTTCTTTTTTTTTTGTATTTATATGAGATGATAGATGTTAAGTAAACTTATTGTGGTAATCATTTCACCTTCTATGTAAGTCAAATCATTGTGCCATATATCTTACACTTCCACAGTGCTGTATGTCAATTATACCTCAATAAAACTGGAAAAAACAATGCAGCTATGAACATTCATGTTTAAGTGTTTGTATGGACATATGTCTTCATCTTCCTTGGGTATGCATCTAGGAGTGGAATTGCTGGGACATACGGTAACTTTATGTTTAACCTGCTAGAATTGACAAAAATCAGACAGCAATGGGATTTTTTCCCTAAGAAAATGTTAAGGACTGATAATAAAATTAGATCAAGATTGGGACTGAAGGGGGTTATCCCCAGTTAGATTGCTTTAAGTATCACAATCTGGATATAAAGGGTAGTAATAAAAAGTATTTCCTAGACAACACTTAGAAAAGCTGCAAGTAAAGTTTCCATTAGTCATAACTTCCCAAGAGATTTTCTGACTCAGACAGGGAGGTAGGTAGATTTTCTATTTTTTTTTAAAAGATTTTATTTATTTATTCATGAGAGACAGAGAGACAGAGAGAGAGAAAGAGAGAGAGAGAAAGAGGCAGAGACACAGGCAGAGGGAGAAGCAGGCTCCATGCAGGGAGCCTGATATGGGACTCGATCCTGGGTCTCCAGGGTCAGGCCCTGGATTGAAGGCAGCGCTAAACTGCCAAGCCACCGGGGCTGCCCTAGATTTTCTATTCTTGTAAATTATTTCTACATGACATGTCTCAAAGTACTTAGGGAAGACATTGTATAGATTTCACTGCCTGGAGTCAGATCTGAATCTTGTGAAAACTGTGTTGCCCAATATGATAGCCATTAGTTATATGTGGCTTTTACAATTAAATTCGTTAAAATAAAATAACATTTAAAATTCAAGTCCTTAGTTGTACTAGCCACACTTCAAGTACTCAATAACCACATGTGACTTGTGGCTACAATGTTGGACATTTTCTTCATTACAGAAAGTTCTATTAGGGTTGTTCTAAAGCAGTGGTTCTTAAATGGATTGTGATTTCAGCCCCCAGAGAAATCTGGCAATGTCTGGAGATATTTTGTTTTTTGTTTTTACAACTTGCAGAAGGGAGGGTGCTACTGGTATCTACTGGATAGAGGCCAGGGATGATGCTAAATATCCTATAATGTATGGGACAGCATCCAAACAATTAACTATCCAAAAATGTCAGCAGTGTCTAGTTTGAGAAAACATCCTGCACAATAACCTCCAAACCTGGCTAGCACTTCTAAAGAATCACCTGTTAGGCTCTTAAAAAATCCATGTGCATGAGCTCTACCCCTGAGATTCTGATGAAGGATGTATGAAGAGAATCCAGGGATCTATATTGTTCAAGAGCTTTCCCAGTGATTCTTCTGATTGACCAGATCCAAGAATTATTGTGAGAAAGTAGACTGACTCTCAGCTCTTTATTCAGACAAAAATCACCTGGTAAACATTAGGAGTACTCCCAGAATAGATTAATGGCTCCAAGGCCATTACTGTGTCTGTTTAATTTCTTCAATTCCCTCTCAATTAATGGGGTCATTAAGCACTTAAGACTTACCTTAATTTCTCTCCTTTTAAAAAATTCTTTCATTCTGTGTAAATCCAGTTTGCAAATGATTACA